CCAAAACCGCAGTCCTAAATGTGTGTATGTATAACACCCACAATCCCCAGCAATGAAATAGTTTACAATACTTGCTCATATTTACATATGAATGCAATAAATGCTAAATTATACATATTAACAAACTAAGCTCGAGTCTGAACACAGATAAGAATTGTAAATAATTACAGAACAAAGAAAAAAAATCCAGAATACAATTAAGTCAAGGATCCTAGTGTAAAGAACATTTATTGTGCACAAATTTCAGAGTAATATAAAACTCCATTTTTATTTTCTTTTTGCCTTTTCTTAAAAAAAAAAAAATAATGGACTGACATATGTTACACTCCTCCACAATTATTTTTTTCTTCTTTATTCTGGTGAGGTTTGTGGAGTCAATGACAAATGTAGGAGAAACGTCTAAAGAACTATAGTACCTGGAAGACGCACAAAAATAGTCCACGTGTAGTGTTAGAACAAAGTAATAAACTGAACAAAACCTGCCCTGATGCAGAAGCAGAAAAAAAACAGCATATCCACATTATTGTAGTACTCCTAGCATGGGAAACTCATCTAATTTAAGCAGCTATCAACAGAAAAAGCATTAATTTGACTAAAATTGCCAACAACGCATCTGAAAATGAGAAAGTCACAGCTACCCCCTCCCTTCCCTTCCCTTCCCTCCCGCGTCCCCACATGTTCACGTGTGCATCTTCCACTCGCGCCCTTTCGTCTCCAACACGCACAACCCCCTCTCCCAACCCACTCTTGCAGCTTAGCTCTGGAGGCTCCGAAGACCCAATCCCCCCTCCCTCCCCTTCCCCTGGAGTATTCCCAAATGAAGACAAAAAGGAAACGGGCAAAGAAGCGGCGTCCGCAGCTTACTGTGAGTTGGATGGATGAATTTAAAAGTCGCTCCTGGCACGTAGGGTCCGTTCTTTGCTGTCTCGCAAGCTCAGTGCCGCCAAATCCCTGTTTGCAGGGAAAACGGTTTTACAGGTTCAGAGACGCAGCTGATGCCCTGTCCCGAACTCGGGGTCTCGTGGAAAAGAAAAAGCAGCTGCTAACATCAGGAGTACTCGAGGATGGAGAATCAGCCTCATCTTTGTGGCGCTGGACTTTCAGCGGGCTATGGGGAAAGCCTCAAGTTCTATTTCAGCCTCCTGAGTGAGGAGGGTATTTAATCAAAAGCTCGTTTCAGCTAATTTAGGGCCAAACAAGCTGAGCTGCCATTTTAAAACCACACTATAAACCCAGTGACTCTGTATTTTAGTAAACGTTTACCACAGAGAAAATGATGTTTCTGAGCAATATTTAGTATACAAACTACCCCTAAGGAAGCATGTATCTGCCAACGGGCTATCATGCTTTTAGGGTACCATACCATCACATTTTTGGTACATTGTATGCTCTGACTTTAAGCTAATCACAGGCATTACCCCATCGTGTACAGCTTTATTTTGGCAATTTCAATACAGCGCATTTTAAGCCCTGTGAGAGTGGCAATAACTCAGAAGTTGTGTCCTATAAATCATCTTGTATGCAACATATTAACCCACCCCATGGCAGGGTCTCCTTTCACTCATGCTGCACCAGTCCAGAGAAAACCCTGGGCTAAAAAGAATGGAAAATGGTGAACTAAAAAAAAATGTCCGTTATTTGGTGATTCAACGGCACTGTTGCTTCCTAGAATAGAAGGGCTACATCATTTCTGATTAATTTTTTTTAAAGGTTATTCTCAAAGAATAGAAGTGTTCTGAGGGTTGAGATGTTGAATGCTGAATTTCAGCCAGTTACAAGCGCCTGAAAATAGTGATTCTGAATGGAAATCACTGGCACAATCTTAATGGTAGAGGCTTAAACTGATGACTTAATCCTCCAAGTAATGACTACTTTAAGTACATTTATTACTTGTCTTCAAGTGTTGGTTTTTTTCCCCTTTCAAATGGACGAGCCGTATTTTACTTCGCTTATACATTTAAGTGAAGTGCATTTGAATACATAAAAGTCAAGTTATGCCTCCCTGCTTTATACTGCAAGATATCACGCATATAATTTGATGTTTCTTTAAAGCTCTGGAAAGTGATCTAATACTCATCATATGAAGAAGTTATTAAGACAAAACTCATACATCATTTAAAATGCATCAAAAATACATTCAATATTTTTTCTGGTTTATATACACTTTAAATCTTTCAATGTTCTGCACGCTACTGTATAGTTTATGTACAAGTGCAAAATTGGTGTGTTATTTTTCATTTATTTACAGGTTCTCCCATGAAATAAGGATGCTCTCCTTCTCCCCCCACCCCCCCTCCAAAAGAAATAAACCCACAAATCCTTCACTTTTGATATCGGCCTGGTGATAAGCCACCGGCAATTCTTCTTCCCCCCATCCATTCCCACCTTTGTCTCTATTTTACCTTTAAGTTGGGATGAAACTGTTTGCAGCAGAGATATGTATGAGAGTTCTCTCTTTACCTCATCAATATGGAGATAAGATGCAGAGCAGAGCTACATCCTAAAGGAGCTGTTTCATTTTATTTATATAAATAAGTCTTGTTCCTGTATTTACATTTTTTGGTTCTGCTAAACCTCGAAGTTTGATCATTTTTGCTCGTCTTTCCAATATCTGACACCTAACTTTGTGGCTACGCTTCCGGGCACGCTCCACAGTAAGCTTTTGAGACCAGATAACCCAGGTTCCTGGGGGGAGGGTGGCACGGGGACAAAACACATTTACATCTTTTTGTTAATGTACAAATATATCTACCCCTCCAGGCCTATTGTTCCAAAAGCTGTTTCCCCTCAGGAAATCTTAAGCAACAACTTTGAGCACCCGCTAAAGTGCTGCCCTGAATACGGAGACTTAAGCACAAGAGCTTTCTCAGTTTGGGTTGGCAGTTCTCCTCCCAAAGAAGCGTCGGAGAAACAAGAAGACGGCATCTCTGAACATGAGGACTTGCACCATGACTGAAAACATTTAAAGTAGTAACAGGGGTGGGATTTTAGTCCAGTATTAGTTCTCTCGTTCAGGTTAGCCCTGTACACATAGGAAGTTAGAAAATATTTTAGGAGATGAATCTGTCTGAGGCAATCTGTGCATCAGTTAAAACTTAAATTGCCTAAATCCCCTCGGTCTAAAAGACAAAGCTCACCCCCTTCCCTCCCATAATTTCTTTTCCCCAGAGGGCATTTAAACTTCCAGTTTACAAAACGATGCATTTTTTACATATATATACACACACGCGCGCGCGCACATATATATATAAAATGCACTTTTTCCAGAATACTTTTTCTGCAGTCCTGTTGTATTTGTTAAATGACACATTAAATCAGAATTATAACACACCACAGTATTTAAAGCAGTAGGCTGTCCCCCATCACTGCTGTCTGGACGCACAGAGCAATTCACATCTTTATTGTGATGCTGCTGCGCTCCAAAGAGCTTCTTCAAAATACATGGTTAAAAAAAAAACAAACAAAAACAAACAAAAATGAGTGGCTGATATGCAATCGATCACCGAAACGGGCACAAAAAAAAGATGCAGTTACTTGGGTTTCATTTTGGAAAAGGGTGCTACCTGGCCAGAATATTCAAGAGCACTTTCCTTCACTCCCCTCAATTTGTTCCTTCTCCGTTTCATACATACTAGACGTCCTCACCAGAAACCAGCGACCCAGCAACCTGAATGAAGCTGCACTTAACTGTGATTAAGTAACAATTACACGCCGCGTTTGGCACCTTCATGAAACATCTTCCTACCAGCTTCAACATCACAACTTCGCATGGCCCCGGCACTGCGCCACGTTCCAGAATCAAGGGAGACACTGGGCACCAGCACGCACAGACTGATGGCTTGAGTCCAACCTTGAACCTCAAAACGTAATCCCAACTAGTCAGAGTACTTCAGATAGCTTAGATACATCCCCCAAAAGCCAAACTTTCTCTTCGCTGTTTGCAGGTCCCTTCCTTTCACCAACAAGCCACCTTCTTCAACATCTAAGAGACTTCAACTCCAACGGGAAATATCAGTAACCGATCATGTAGAACTCAACCCTGTGGCCAAACGAAGCTGCTCTGCTTGCTTATTATTTAAAGTTCTTTTTTACTTCATCCTGAAATGATCTGGCACTGGGAGTGTTGCTTTTTACATCCTGTAAGGAGATGGAGCAAATCTGGATGGAGCATTGCTGAGGAGCAATGTCTCTGAGCCCCGGCAGAGTTCAGCTCTCGTCCAGAAGAATGGCAGGAGGGAAGGGGGAGGGAAAGAGGCCGAACAGGCAGAGAAAATCAGAAGAAATATAATGTATCTGACCTGGAACACAAACTGCTTCTATTAAAAGCGCTGGTGAAACCAGCGGTTTTCTTATGAGATACTAAAACTCTACTTTCCCTCCAGATATTTCCATCTGGTTGAGTAGTTGGTTGGTCAGGAAAATGTCATTTTCCCCTGACTGCACGTGATGTATTACAAAGAACACAGATTGCCTTGGGTGATTATATATATATATATGTGTGTGTGTGTGTGTATACATATATTTAAAAGGAATATAATTATGTTAAAAAGAAACGTGTGTAGCAGTCTCCTGGCTCCCTAGATCTGTTCAAGTCTAGGCACTTGTGTGTGGTGTACTCCAAGCAGGTTAAGACTATGTAAACATTGAGTCCTTCAAAAGCAACATTCAACTTCTCCAGGTATTGCATGTGGTCTGAGCAACACGCGACATCAACCTTTAAACCATCCCAGCTTTTGCGTTCCTGATGTTCTGGACCACGACGACTACAAAAACACTGTATCTGGAAGAGAGTTCCACTTAAATAATGAGGGAATAAACATACAATATTAAATGAAAACAAAGGATGAAGATGCTTTGAAGATTAATAGTAGTGTTTATGTGTTGAGAGCTGACACCTGTAAACACTGCATCTTTTTCTTTTTGTACAGTTTGATAAATACATGAACTACAAAGCACTTTCCATGTATAAACCTGAGTGTCATTCATATTGGACTACTGTTCTATTTACACTGACCATGAATGGCGGCGATCAGATGTTACTGGACCTGCAATAAAATTATTTTACTTTAAACTTGAAGAAAACAAAGGAGCAATCTGAAGTCACGTGTCAGTAAAACTTAAGTGGAGCAGTTGTCAAATAAAGCCAACTATCACGTAGATGAGAGAAAAAGTTGGGTTCAAGGAAGTTGTGTTTCTCCGAGTGCTTCTAGTCTCTTGTGACACAACTTGGAAATCCTCCTCCTCGGTATTACTTTTCCGTTTTGTTTAAAACCCTATACAGTTTCTGATGTCCATGCATCAAATACAGGTTCCTGGCTGTGCAGGGGGTTGCTGTTTCCGATTCCGTATTGCACCCGATTTCTCTTTGTAGGCAATTGGCATCTGTTGTGAAATGTCCACCAGTGCACTGGCCACTGCAAGACCTGAGGCAACAAAACAAAACAGTCATGGAACGAAACAGGCACAGAAACAAATCCTTCCACCGCTGCTGAGAAAAACCCTTCAAGCCACAAAATGAATATCATTTTTGAGTTCTTCTTAAAAACAGCAAACTAGAAAAGCATTTGGGCTTAAGAGATTAAACTCTAGCTGCTATTCTGAAATAAGCTTTTAAATACTGCATGTTTTATTGAAAGCAACTGCAGTAGAAAAAGCTGGAAATAACAAGTGTGGGTATTAAGGGACGTGAAACCCATAATATTGAGAGAAGGTGTCTTTCTCTGTACTAGCAAACGTGCTAGAATCAATGCTGAGCACAGGTGCATGGGTGTTTCACTGCACTTCCCGGACATCATCATCTCTACAACCTCCTCCTGGCAAATCCACAGACAAACCACTGTTGGCCATCCAGGATTTAGCTCCATACAGCTCACAACCAAACCACCCCATCTCAAATCCAGCTAATACTCCATTAAGACCCTCTGCTTCACCGTGCTCACTAAGCACTGGAGAAACCCATGTTAAATCACAAACTGCCCAGGAGATTACATCTCTGTGCCCTTCAATTGGGTTCAAGTGAGAAGGGGCTGGGAACAATGAAACCTTAAGCTGGATGGAGAAAACTTCGCTGTCCAGAGCTGCTAAGAGGAGGGCACGGACTTGCTGTCTCTCTACCAATGGAGCTGGGAATGAAGGGGAATAGGTTGGGAGACAAGTAACTTTCACAAGGAACTATCATAAACCTGTCTGTGCCAGATCCCCCTTTTTCCCCAGTCATAAATGAAAGTGTAATCCAAATATCAAATGTTCATCCATCAACTGACCCAAGAAACTGAATCAAACCTCAGGCTGAAAGCTAGGAGGGCCCAAGCCAGCTAGTTTAAAATAACCTGAGCACATCCTCAGCTGCGGTGTGGGTACTGCAATTACCACAGGATCAAGTCTGAAACTGTAAGGTGAACCTGTAAGGCTGGGGAAGGAGCATGGAGTTAATACCAAGCCAGCAGAGACAACCATACTCCTCACCTGACTGTCCTGGTGGTGGTATACCCCCAAGTCCTCGAGGCAACCTCACAAATACAGAGAGAACGGCCGCTTTGTTCCCAAAGCAGGGCTCCAGCGCTATTGGCTTTGGTACAGTCTGCAGAGAGGGAAGGAAGAGAAGGAAACAAATGTTATACAGTGTGTTACGCCCTCCCTCTTCCCTCAGCGTCGTCTTTTTCAGATTGTACAAGCTTCAGGGCACGAACCATGTTTCTGTGCTTGGCAAATTTCCAGCATGTAGCTAGCGAAGTTAAAACCAATGTTAGTAACAATCAAAACCCTAGTCAGCGCAAAAAAAACCCCACGTTTACTTAATAAAAATCTAGCTATTAAAAAGTCAAGCTCTGCACAAGGCTTGCATTTCTCCCTAAATTCAATAACAAAGGAGCAGCTTATGCTAAACAAGAGGATTGAGGTTTTGTTGGCTTTTTTTCCTTCAAAGCCATCAGCAGTGTATCACAAATATCGGCACGTCTGATCACTGCAATTTGGCGGTTCAATTTCTATTTTCAGAGTTTGACTCCACATAATACCTTCCCAGCACCGTATGCATTAACACGGTACAGCACATTCACCCCCGCACCGCTCTTTGTTTCACTGTTGTTTACTTTAAGCTGTGTTCCCCCAGTTTTGTCTTTCATTTGTGTTCTTTCCCAAGGGGTCATGTTCATTTTCCAGTGGTCTTCTAGACCGCTTTGGCCTATGTTCTTAGGTAGCTGGCTGCTCTGGGAGCTGACAGTGCTTTAGAAAGGCTCCTGGATTGTACCAACCTTTTTTAAACTGAAAAGCAGAGAATTCAGTAGAGCAGAGGACCGGTTTGTGATCCTGGCTCTGGATCTGGCTTCAGTGACCTGTTGTACCCTACGATGGACTACTCTTAACGTGCTTTACTGAAGCCTATTTACTTTCAATAGCAATACTCCACCACTTACATTACAAACATGGACATGAAATAAAGTTTTCAGCTCAAGTGTGAACTGATAACTGTGCAGATATAATGGGCAGCCAGCTTTCCCTCACCCTAGAGAAGCAGGGGACTGGATCCCTTGCTGTCCCTCAGTGTCTTTGAACGTCACCCTCCCACCGTACTCCCGTAAAGGTTTTATTTGAACGATCACCAGCTAATTTCAATATGTCGTTAGAAAGACAAAATGCAACAGCACAGCCCAGAAACTAAAATGTGTTCTTACCTGAGCTGGGCCCCAATCCCACAGACAATTACACGCAATCAGCGTTATTGTGGGATGGCACAACAGTAAGATGAGGATGTAAGTCTATGCCTATGTGTACAGGTACAAGAGTGCCTTCTTTTGTTCCACATAAGCAAAAAAAAAAAAAAAAGCCGAGAAACACTATTTTTACCTGACACAGTGCTTTCTGATTTCTTGTTTAGTATGGACAAATTCTACCCTGGCATTAATGAAATAATTATTGCTTTTTCCATCGGGCATAAAATTGTACTACTGTGCTTACACGTTCAACAGAAACTCAAAACAATGCATGACTGAAAAAAAACAAACGGGAGTCAAACAACGCTATTAAATTACTGCTGCTCAATAAAAAAAGAAAAAAATAGATGACAGCAAGCAAAATGAAACTTAAAACTGTTTTCATGTCTCATATTTACTGTAACGATTGCAACAACAATTTGTTAGTCTGTGCAAGGTAGATAAATAAGTATTCTACAGGCTGTAACGATGTAAGCTGCCGTCTGCCTGGTTTATGACGGCAGATTTCTTCATCTTCTCCCCACCCCCAACAAAGAGATCAAACTCAAAATAACGCTTTTCCCACAAAGCAACCAAGCATACCCTGGTGCTATATCCCACAGGCGACTCAATTACCAGAGGTAATGGAGAGAGCACAGCGAAGGCAACTGCAGAAATACAGCCCACGGACTTCTGGCATATGGGTGGAACATGCACTGAGCGCAAAGTTTATTTTCTTTTGGAGAGCGCCAAGTACCTTACTTATTCCACTGTCAATAATACAGCCCTGCCGAATCGCAGGGGTTGGAGCACAGCACTTGGTTGTTACAGAAAGCACTCACGCTCATCCTCAGAGTTGAGCAGAGTGAGCAGTAAAGACCCAGCAGAGAAGCAGCAGCAGGGGGAAGAGAATGATGAAGGAGCAACTGAACAAGCCAAGAAGAGATTATCTAACACATTTTTAATGTATTTGCTGTTAACTCCTACTGGACTAATGGCCACAAGAAATGATCAGAGGATTGGAACACCTCTCCTATGAGAGGAGGCTGAGAGAGTTGGGGTTGTTCAGCCTGGAGAAGAGAAGGCTCCAGGGAGACCTCATTGAGGCATTCCAATACCTTTCAGTACTTAAGGGGGCCTATATGAAAGATGGGGACAAGCTTTTTAGCAGGGCCTGTTGCGATAGGACAAGGGGTAATGGCTTGAAACTAAAAGAGGGCAGATTCCAACTAGCTAGAAGGAAGAAATTTTTTACGATGAGGATGATGAAACACTGGAACAGGTTGTCCAGAGAGGCAGTAGATGCCCCATCCCTGGGAACATTCAAGGTCAGGCTGGACAGGGCTCTGAGCAACCTGATTGAGTGGAAGATGTCCCTGCTCGCCACAGGGGAGTTGGACTAGATGACTTTTAAAGGTCCTTTCCAACCCAAATCATTCTATCCTTCTAATCCAATGCTTCTGCAACTCTCTTCCTTCCCCAACATAAATTGTTCAGTGCAGCTCTACTCCAATATGCTTTGTAATGTCATGGGGATGCTCAGCAGCATGCTCATCATCTTCCAGCCGATATGCAGAAACAGGAGGCTGGAAAATACTTCTCATGGTCACCGAATCCAGTCCCTCACTAATGCAGGTGACTGCACATAAAAGTGCAATGCTCTGCTTTAAAAAGTAGTTATACTTTCAGCCTGTGCCATCAGCTCTGTGAGATCTTTCCAGAGGGTCCCTGCTCCTGGATCTCGCTGCTCTGACACCAGAGACTTTCTACTAACCTCAATTCTTTCCCACCTAAAATTATTCATTCATCTGACATTTTTCTGTGCCTTAACCCTCTCCCTGGACTTTACGCTACCATACATCTCAGCCTTCATTTGGCTAATCTGAACGAACAACGCTCTGAATTTTTTCTCTGAACACAAACACACCCTTCTCCAGCTCTCCCAACAGTCCCTCTCTGCCCCTTGTCTGCTGCTGTAGACCACGGGTGACCTGAGAGGCGTTTCAAGCTTTGACAGGACCCCTGTAACGGTATCAAAACCACCTTGATTCTCTTGCACATCCTAAAAAGGTAAGGAAGAGAAAAAGTTCATTATAGAGTTTTCAGTCACAGAACTGAAGGGACTTTGAGGATAATTTAGCTCATCTCTCAGCCCCAAGCAGGACCCTTTCTCCTCCTCTGCCCTTTCCAACTAATGAACCCTGAGCGTGCCGCAGAAACTCTCATTATGAGTCCCTGTGGGCACAATCTTTCCCTTTCCCTGGAATTTTTATTTCATTCCTGAAGGTCACACTTCTTCCTCCTCTCTGCTCTCCTGATCCCATTCTGAACCACGTTCTGCGCAGGTGTCACTGGTGCTGAAAGAGCCCCAAACAGGCGGCCAGCACTGTCTCCCAGCAAGTGACAGCAGACCCCAGCCATACCGATACCTAAAATTTAGTTATTTCACAGGGATGAGTCTGACCCTCATGCTGCAGTGAATTTTTTAATCTGATGTACGCAGAGGACATACCTCTGAGCCTCCTTCCTTCCCTTATCAAACTGCTCAGAAAAGCTGAGCATTATTAAAAAATTGTTAATATTTCACCGCATGTGGAACTTTGTTTCTATTAACCATGCAAAGCAAGGAAGTACACTTTCTATAATGATGCATCCAAAATCTGTCAGGGAGTTGCAAGCTAATTTGGAAGGAACACATTAAGCACAAGATCATCTTGCTGCAGCTAATCCTGATCTTAAATATAAAAGGGGGAAAAACAGCCTACTGTCCATCAAAAACAGCCATTTTCTTGACACAAGCTGCAGTTAATAACAGCAAAAAAACCCCAGCATAAAGAATCAAGTCCTGCAAATTTATTTTTGACAGCACCAGTTCAGGCACCTGCTTTTTGAACTGTGACTCATACTGCATCTCATCTCCAAGCGTGCGCTCGCCAGGCCAAGAGACAAAGCGCAGCCTGATGAAATGACTCACATGCCGAGTGACGGGAATGATGAATTTGATGCAAGCAAGAGGCCAGCCGGGAGTGAAGGGCATACTGTGCCCTCTGCGAGATATAGAGCAACCCGGCGGTGGAGCCCGCGGACCATATTCTGCAGACACGGAGGAAAACATGTGGGTCATTCAACCAGCAACTCAACAGCTATCTTGACCATGGTTCTCACCCACAGCTGGCCTTGCCGTGAGCCTGCTTGTGTTTTGACATGACCTGTGCAGGTGTTATCACGGCGCAAAGCAGCTACGGAGAAGCTGGCTGGCTTCATCAAGTTGAATTTTCATGGGGAGACCTAACAAGAGTTCACTTCTGATTTCCTTCCCCACCTCTGCAGCATGTCTGCCTCCCGCGTGGTTTCTCAATGCAGATCCAAGCTGCTTTTCAGCAAGAAGGTTTGGAGTGGACTTGGGAACCAGAGATCAGGTCATTATAAATGCTTGTGCTTCATTCTGACAGGTGGCTTTTAACGGCCCACTTAAAAAAAAAATATAAAATACGTAGATCTCCAAACTTTGTAAGACCTTTCATTAGATGGTTAAAACCAGCCTCTGCCAGACACTTTCATTTAGAGTGTTTTGATAAACCCATTGCTGAATTATAGAAGCAATTCTTTTTTATTGAAGGCTTAATAGCACAATAAAGTAGACATTATTCAAATCTATGCAAATAAGGTGCATCCCTCAGACTCTTGGCACATGACGACTGCTTCGTGTGGTGCCTGAACAGCAGAGTCCGACAGCGGGAGGGGGGCACAGAGGGGAGAGCAGAGCCCAGCTGCTAGAGCGGGTAGACAAAGACCACGGTTAATAGGGCAAGAGGATCTCGCCTTTGGTGGACTCGGTCAATCCCTGTGAGCCAACCAGAAGCCCATCAGAAAGGAACTGTGCCCTTGA